ATGCAGCAGCAGCAGCAGCAGATGCAGCAGCAGCAGCAGCAGCAGCAGCAGCAGCAGCAGCAGCAGCAGCAGCAGCAGAAGCAGCAGCAGCAGCAGATGCAGCAGCAGCAGCAGCAGCAGAAGCAGCAGCAGCAGCAGATGCAGCAGCAGATGCAGCAGCAGCAGCAGCAGCAGCGGCAGCAGCAGATGCCTCAGCAGCGCATGCAGCAGCAGCCCAGCAGCAACAGGCATGCGCTGTTTTGGCAACCAGTTTTGTTCTTGCCGACTTCCGCGCTGCGGAGCCCTCTCATTGAGGCCTCCTTACTGCTACAGTTAGGCGGCAGCAGCAGCAGCAGCAGCAAGAGCAGCAGCACAGCCGCAGGCGAGCTGGTGGAAGCCACGCCTGCTCCATGTTTTGGCTGTAGCTGCCGCAGGAAGCACCGGGGATGTCAGCTGCTGCTCGCGGAATTTCGGCGTTTGTACACCGCAGGAGGCTCTGCAGCAAGCTGCAGCAGCTGCAGCAGCAGCAGCTGCAGCAGCAGCCGTTGCTGCGTAATTGCAGGGCGGGAGCGCCCCCAAAGTGGCGCAAGGGGCTGCAGCAATGGGTGCGTGTGGGCGGACTTCTGGGGAGGCGAAGCATCCTCAAGCGCACGGGCAGAAGCAGCATATGTGAGTGACACTGCAGCAGCAGCAGCAGTAGTAGCAGCAGCGGGAACACCAGGTGCACCATCGACGCCCTGTTTTGCTGCTAGTCGCTAGTGAGATGTGCTGGGTGCTTGTGTCTTTGCTGCAGCAGCAGGTTGAGGCAGCGCTCGCTGTGGCCCTTGTGCGGCATGAGCTCCAGACCCTCTCCTGCCTCCGCTCGGCAGCAGCAGCAGCAGCAGCAGCAGCAGCACACAGCAGCAGCAAACTGGCGAAGCTAGGCCGTCTACTTGCAGAGGGTGCGCCTCTCTCCGGCTGGAACGCAGGTAAGCAGCAACTCTACGAGCTGCTGTCTCTGCTGCTGCAGCTGTGACTGCATGTGTCTGTGCTGCGGCCTTAGCTGCTGCTTGCAGAGTTCGGTAGTTTTGATATATCGCTGCGCTGTGCCGTTGCTGCTGCTGCTGCTGCTGCTGCAGCTGTGACAAATGGTGCACCTTTTTGCTCCGGCGCGGTCGCCTTAGAAAGACTGCTGCTGCACCTCTGGGGCGTGGTGGTACAGCAGCAGCAGCAAATAGCAGCAGCCAGTGCTGCTGACCTAGGTGTGCGGCTGCTGCGGCAGCAGCACTGTCGCAATCAGCTGCATCAGCAGCAGCAAACTGCTGCGTCGTCCGACCCCCTCTCAAGGCTGCAGCAGAAGCAGCAAGCACAGCAGCAGCCGGTTGCTGCAGGGGCGGTTGCTTCAGCAGCAGCTGCTGCAGCGGCAGTGCGCCCACACAGTACAGTTCTTTCCATGCACCCAGCAGCAGCAGCAGCAAGGGCTGCTGCTGCAGACGGTGTTCTCAAGTCCATTCCAGAAGTGGCCAATCAGCACAAAATACGCGCAGAGCGCGACGTGTTTGGCCCAGCAGCAACGGAAGATGCAGCAGCGACAGCAGCAGCTGCTGCAGCAGCAGCAGCTGCTGCTGCTGCTTCAGCTGGGGTGACGCTGGTTGGGGAAGCAGTGCAGCAGCAAAGAGGAGCCCAAAGAGTGGCGCCGGCCATTAGGGCTGTATGTACAGCTCCTTCTATACGTTATGTGCGTTCAGTACGCGCTGCTGCTGCTTCTGCTGCTGCTTCTGCTGCTGCTTCTGCTGCTGCAGCTCCCTTTGCAGTTGCCGAAAGCCGCCTCCAGCGAGCTGCTGTGTCGCCGTGGGGCGCAGCAGTTGCTGCAGCAGTGGCGCCTGCTGCTGCAGCAGATAGTGCACGCCAGCTGGCTGCGGCAGAGGAGCAGTGAATTGCCTTCTCTTGCTGCTGCAGCTCAAGCTGCTCGCGTAGCTGCTGCCGCAGAAGGCGATGCAGCAACAGCAGCTGCAGCAGGCTCAGTTGCTGCTGCTCCGGCTGTAGGGAAGCTGCAGCAGCAGCAGCAGCAGCGCAGCAACATATAAGGTTCCGCAGCGGAAGCAGCTTCAGCGTGCCGTTGCAAGTGCAGTGTCAGCTAGACTGGAGCAGCAGCAGCAGTTGCTGCTGTTGCTGCTGCTGCTTCGAAAGGCGTAAATGGTTTTTTGATTTTGCGTTTGGCTGTCGTCCTATGAGACGAAGGACTAAAGAAAAAAGCAAAAACATTGGCCACCCAGTAACTGCATCGAAGCAGCAGAGGCTTCTGCTGCTGCTGCTGCAGCTTTTGCTGCTGCTGCTGTTTCCGTCCAAGCGGAGTAGAGCCGGCTGTAGAGGGCCTCTGTAGCCGCTCAGCTGTTCTCGAGGCCCTCAGGCAAATCGAAACGTTTCCATCAGCAGCAGCAGCAGCCGCTGCTGCTGCTGCTACTGCTGCTGCGGAGGCTTCTGTTGCTTCCAATGCTCCAGCTACGGACCCAGAAGCAGCAAATGGTAGAGCTGCTGTGGTTCGCCTTCTGCTGCTGTAGCCACGCAGGGTATGAAGCCAGCATCAGCAGCAGCAGTGCCGACAACTTTGCTGCTTGTCACTCTGCTGCTGCTGCAGCTGCAGCACTCTCAGGCCCCGAAAACAGCCGCAGGAGTCCCAGCAGCAGCAGCAGCAGCACAATCACCAACAGCCACGCGGCCGGCCCAAGGGCGATTCCCCGGGCTTTCTCCGAGCCAGGGAAGTAAACGAAGGACATTTCGGTGAACCCTACGCGCTGCCGCAGCACTAGAGGTTCTGCTGCTGCTGCTGCAGCAGCAGCAGGAGAAGCAGCCGCTGCAGACTCGAAGCCGCTGCCCTTCTGAGGGCGCCGCTGAGCAGCAGGCCCCATCTTGGGGCCTTCCACTTGGCTTGGAACTGCTACCTTTGTTGCTGCTTCTTCTGGTGCTGTTGCTTCTGTCCTTGCTGCTGCTGCTGCCGCTGCTGCTGCTGGTTTCACGTTCTGAAAGATCTACAGCTCCTCAAGTCACACATGAAGCAAAGGCGGCAGAACAACCGCTACAGCTAGTTACGGGCTTTCTGCTCGAGGAAATTAAATTAAATAATAAATTTCGTGATTTGCTTTTAAAATGGACAAAAGAGGGACAAAGAAGAGCAGCATGAGACACGCACGACGTGTAGGGGGGCCCCCTGGGCCCCTCAACAGCGCTGCTTTGATCTAATATTTCCCCTTAATAACTGATTTGAATAAATAAAACATGTTAATTAATATTTTAAAACCATTCACAGGCTAAAAACGTGGCGAACGCCTCCTGCCCCCAGCCAACTGCTGCAGCCTGTCTTACGATTGGCAGAGCCAACACAGCAGCAGCAACAGCAGCAGCAGCAGCAACAGGAATGTCTCATTAGAATTGCTAACAACTTCGGCGAAATTTTGGGCCCCACATCCTGCTTTGTTTCGGCTTCTGTTTCTTCCCTTTGCACTCCAGCTGCTTTACTTTCAATGCAACACATCTCTAGGAGCTTTTCAAAGTAAACACGAGCCCGCCTTTGCTGCCTCCACCCTGAGCAGATCTGTGCACGTAAAGCAGCTACAAACTTTCAGTTCAAACCCGCTCAAGTGCACTCGTTCATATGGCCTGCAGCAGCACACAGAAGGAGCGCCGCCGGACATGAGCTGTGCCTGCCAGCAGCAAAGTGAGGCATGAAAGCTGCTTTTTGTTGCTGCTTTTTTGGCAGTTTTATGCACACTGAAAAACTCGCAAAGGCGCTTCGGTGTGCAGGCATTTGAAGGCAATTTCATATTCAATTTGTAGCAGCAAATAAGGTGTACAGACACCTAGGTCCAATTAGTCTTTTCTCAATGCGTCTGCCACTGCAGCAGAAACACGGGCCGACACAGTGCCACTGAATTTGACTGTGCAAATGGGACTCAGTGGCTGCACTGGATTTTGAAGTGCAAAATAGAGAAAAACTTCGAGAAAAAACAGCTGAGGAGGACATAAAATAGACAAAAAAAGCATTTTTTGTTCGGGCTAATCAGCCTGTGCAGCGGACTCGCAAGCAGTAAGGGTTATTAACCCACCGCTGGGCCCCAAAGCAGCATTAATCCTCAACAATTGAACAGCTCTTTTAATGATAATGCAACTTTTCTGCATAGGAAGTGCTTGGGCTTTTCTCCTGAAGTGAAGATGGCCTGGCCTGGAAACGCAGCCGGCGCAGCACCAGCCCAGTGTGGCACTTAATATCTATTGCTGATTCCGGACCATTCGAAAAGTTTATGCACTCGAAAAAGAAAAAAATTCTAACCAAATAGGGCCCTGTGTATCTCCATTCAAATTCGAGCTGTGGACTGTCTCAAAAGCCCTAGCAGTAGAATAAAACTCTCAGCGGGATAGCCTCTGCAAGTAGTGAAAAAGACAACAAAGGCCTAGCTTGAAAGGAATATGCGCAACTTAAAAATTAAAAAGAACGAGCAAATACGAAGATACAGCCACCCTATTCTTCAAGCCACTCATGGTGCGAAATGTAAGGAACAAGCCAGCAAACAAGTTGCAGCTCAAAATTTGTGAATCAGGTCGTACCAAATTAAGCAGAATGCAGTTATTGCACAGAAGCCAATATAAGAAAGTTCGTTCAAAGCGACAGATTAGAAGAAGCGTTATGTTCTGCCGCAGTGACACACACCGCACGTAGCGACTGCGGTGTAACGGCTCCTGTTAATGTCCCAATCCGTCTTCGATTAAATAAAATAAATGAAAATAATTTAAAGGCAGAATTCGACAAAGATCTACGGAGGAAGAGGCAAGCCGGCATGTGTGTGTGCAATGTCGTGACCTGGCTCGATGTGAGTGCCTCAACAGCAATACGTAACCGAACCGCAGAAAACTACCTAACAAGCGCCTGTGAATACTTCGCCGAGTAACTGCATAGATAGGAAATAATAATAATTCCCAGTAAAACGTATATATAAAGGGAGACAGAGGTTCTGCAACGGCAGCAGCAGCAGCAGCGAAGTACCGGTGGCGCCAGTGGTCACCTTCGGGACACTCCAAGAACACCCCCTTTGCGGAGCTGTTCAGTTTACAAATCAGTTGAACTTTTGTTTCTAGTGGTCTCTGAGTTCATATATTCTGCTTTGATTATGGCCTTCATTCCCTGCTGCGTCTCAAGGAGGCTGGCCAAAGCAACAGAAGTAGCAGCAACAGCAACAACGCAAGCAGCAAGAGCGCTTAGAGGCAACGCGACAGGAATTCGGGCTCTTTGTTACGCAGGCCACACATACGGCAAGCCTGTCTTTGCTTCTGCAGCAGAGCTCAAAGAATGCAGGAATGTGGGTCAGCCATTTGGGGCTTTCAGGTTTGCCTACACAGGCGTAGCAGCGGCAGGTGCCAGAGCAGCAACAGCAGCAGTAAACCATGTGGCAACACCAGCAGCAGCAATTGCAGCAAGCCGCTGGCCCTGCAGTCGCGGATTTGCGTCTGGAGTTGATCAGAAACTTGTTTTCACCCCGACGCAGCAGCGACAGCAGGCCCAACCGCAGCAGAAGCTCCAGGAAGAGTCCCATCAGCCACCGTCGCCAACTCCTCGGGCGCCGCCAAACCAACGGCAGCAGCAGAAGCAGCAGCTGCAGCAGCTTGTATTAACAGGGGATGCAGCGGGAGCAGCAGCCTTGCGTTTGTACAGCATGAGTGATTTGTTGCGTTCCCTGTTTGTGTTTAGTTTGTGCCGGCACCGTTGGCTGGTTGACAACTGGGAGTCCCTGTTGAATTTTTCTTGCCGCATCTTTGGAAGCCGCGCGGTCTTTGCTTTCATTAGATTTTCTTTCTTTAAAGTCTTCTGCGGAGGAGAAGCTTTGGAAGAGGTTATACAAACCCTGGACAAACTCAAGCACAGAAGTGAGAAAGCTTTCTGTATCAGTGGTCCAGTTGTTGGCTAACCTGTCAATCCTTTTTTTCATAGTCGTTCCTTTTCTTGTTTATTTGGTTAGTGGGCTGTTAAGGCTGGCCCATTGATTTCCTTCTATTCGCTTTATTCGCCACTCTGTCCGCATTTGTTCTTGCCAGCTTTCACTTATTTGGTCTCTTATTCCCTTGTCATTGTTTCTCTGTACCTTTGCTCTTTTTTGTGTTTGTTTGCTTTCTAGCCCTGCATTGTAAGCTTGCCCTACCAATGTCCTTCATCTCATCTTTTACTCTTCATGTATGTGTATTCCTGGGTTTCGGCTCTGCTCTGTGTTTCTTTCCCCCCCTTTTTATCTCCCTTTTGTCATTTATATTCCTCCTATTTCTATATTTTGATCGGCTGTCTTATGTTCATCAGACTTGGGAGCCATATTGGACTATGCTGCAGAGCAGCGGCTACCTGGCGTGCCGGGTGCTGCTGTGCGCACTGAAGACGAGAGCCACAAGTTCACCACTGCCGTGAAAATCACAAAAGAAATAATACGTTTAGCAGGAGGGAGGGGGGAAGGATTTGTTGCAACGAAGGTCACAGCTTTCGGGCCCACAGAACCAATGTTCCTTTCCAACTCTCTGGTGCTGCAAATAGACAAGCTCTTCGCAAAAATTGCAGGTGCATTGAAGGTCTTGCTGCCCCCACTGAAACCTACTCTTTTGTTTCTGTTGACACTTTTCTTGCTTCTGCTTCTGTCGTTCCAGGCGTTTCTGTTCCTGTTTCTTCCGTTGCATTTGCTAGTGCTTCTGCCGCCGGCTGATGCTGCTAGGTCGCTGCTGTCGTTGTTTTTATTACTGCTGCGCATCCCAAAGACTCTCTTATGAGTCAACTTCTGCATCTGTTGCCATTTCGTAGGCATAGAGGCCGTAGCGACTAACGGCAGGCCCTATCCGAAGCAGTTAGGAGCAGCGGAAGTTTCGGAAGATCGATTTATCTCCGCATTGACAGCTGAAGGAGTGGGG